CTACGCCAGTTGAGGCTAATTAAACACAATAAAGGAATTAATGGATGCCAACTTGCGAATAACAACTCGTCAGAAACTAAATGTGGCGAATTCGCCCGTTCATCAAACCCATTCTTCTGTCTAGGTTTTTCTGAGAGGTACCTATTTTGTGAAAATTTAGACATAATTTGTGAAAATTAAAAATTATGTTAAAAAATCAACACGAAAATATGGATTTATCGTTTCTTAAGGATACAAAAATAAAATTATAAGAAGTATTTTGTGAAACTACCGTTTTTCCTAAAGTTGAATTTGTGAAACTACCGTTTTTCCTTAAGTTGAATTTGTGAAGGTACCGCTAAACGGTAGTAAATTCGGCCTGGACAGGCCCCTGGAGTGCTAACGTGTCACCTAGTAATTTAATTATAATAATAAAAATGGATTGATATTTTAACAGTACTCTATATCAATATAAAATTAGGTTTTACTATAAATTTACGTTGTAACTTCAGTTGTTTTAATTTCTTAAGGAATGCATTTAAATGCTTAAAAAATTCAAACTATTCCAATAACATAAAAAGTTAAATAACTAAATAAGCAGGTTCCTCATAATCCATTGTTATTTTATACTAAAATTCACGCTTTTATAAACTTTTTTTTACCAAATAAACTCTAGGCTTAGATCTCAGTGAGCATATTGTTTAGGAAGGTAAGATACTCACAAATAAAAGAAAATATGAAGAAAGAGGTAATGTTCAAAAGCTATAATTTGTGCATTAATTGTTGTGAACTATATATATTAATATTTATACTTTTAACATTGCAACTTATTAAAAACATAGTTTTTAGCAGTTTAAACTAGTTTTGGTTGCTATGGTTATTTTTCTGAAAATACCATAATTAGAAAACCTTTAATTATATATAATTTTATTTCTTACTTTTGAATGCACAGAAAGTTCAGATACCAAATTGGAAGGAAAATAAAAAGATTCAGATTTTGGTACCTCTTTGAAAGGTTTTGTAATGGATGGAAGCAATCTGAAAGGAATGAGAAAGAACTTCTAGTTGTACTTCTTCAAATTGTTGTATTCAATTTGAAGCAATACTTGTGGATTAAGTATTATCCCTGCATTGCTTTTCAATCATTCTATCTAATATATTCAGACCACTCACTTTTAGGACCTTTTATAACATGTTTCCCTACAAAGTTTTCAATGTCTGTTGATATTAAAGAAATCATCAAGGTTTTGTGAAAAGTTATTCATGAAGAAAAGACTGCATAATATTTTAGAAGATTTTAAATTTCTATGCTATTTTTTTATAATATTTAATGCCACATATACTGTTATATATATTAAAAAAAATTACTTAATTAAAAGATCCCAATGTTTTTTATTGCATTAACGCAGATTTAGTTCTAGAGTCTATTTGAATAAAATTATATATCAAGTCCAAATTAAGCATTCATTGTTTGGAAGTCTTTGTTTAAATTAGGGGTGCTCAACTTTTTTGAGTGAGGGGACCACTTGCACCGCACATAGATTAATGAAGGGCCACAGACCATGGTTGAGCACCCCTAGTTTAAATGAAAATAATTTAAAATTATTTTGCTTTTGAAGTAAAACTTATTGCCCTGGCTTAGAAAATAATAACCTTGAAAAAAAAGTGGGTCTATACAGGTGCGCCTATCCAAAAAGAACAAAAAACACTGGGTTTTCTGGGGACTTTTGCAAACACTAATATCAACCGATGCAACACCCATTTCCAGCTTCTTTATTTTATAAAACTAAACTGCTTTTGGTAGCTTAAAATTAAATGTTTACATGGATATAAACCACTCTAAATTTGATGCATGCAAATAAGACTAAGATCCAACATAAGGCTCTAGTAAGAATAGGTACTTAAAAAGATTATCACAGCAGAAGTTAAATTAAATATTTAAAAACAGATAAGAAAGATAAAACACTCAATCTACTGAAAGCAGATAGAAGGAAGAAAAAAAAAAACTCTTACACAACGCAAGATTGAGATAAACAAGATAACAATTCTACAGGGAATTTTATAAAATTCGTAGAAACATAATAATAGTTCATTTTTAAATGCTTACTAAAATAAATAATTAAGAATTTATGATACAATAAACTTGAGTTAAAAGCAGTTGATTGAATAAGGCATGGCTTGAAAATCATATTGCCAGACCTGTATGTGTCACGTAAAAATTTAAATCGGGCATGGATTTTATAACTTCACGTGTGCACATGGATACCTGAAATGCAATAAAATAACATTGAAGTGCCTCAAAGGTATGGATGCCATAGAAGAGGTAAGGGAGAATCTTATCTTAATATGACATAACAGTCAAAAGGTTTCAAATTGGGAGAGCCAAAACAGGAGAGTTTTAAGATAAGACCAAAAAGTGGCTCAATTGAATTATCAAGGCTTCATACTTTTTTATGCTTAAGAGCTTTTACGTAGATGTGTTGTTGATGTCATTGTTTTCGGGGCTGATTAACAAACTTAAATCAGGGGTCTGTCCAGATATTTTGTAAAATTGTGAAAAAAACTATTCATAATTTGTGAACAGGAAATAAAAAATAAGCATTAAGTCACATTCTTTTAACCAGGGTCCTGCTTTTGTGAATTTGTGCAAATAGGGTCCCTGTTATTGCAAAAATTGCCAAAAACCTTTTCAAGAAGTTTTTAGAATACTACATTTGGAACTTAAACTTAGGGAAACTTAGTTTGTCTCGTCAAGTCTTTCACCCCCCCCCTCGGGAAGTGTTTATCCGATTAACAAAACAATAATGAAGAAGATAAACAAATTTGTGAAGGGTGAGATTAAAAGATAAATTATTTTGTGAAGGGTCCGTTTTTATGAAAAGATAAGTGCGTTAACGGGCCCAAATTTCTTCTAAACAGACTCCTGTAAATAAAATGAAAAGCTTTCTGAAAACACAAAATCTCAATTAAAACAATTTCTGCAAGCAATTTATTGATACATTTTAACCCTTATGTCATAATTTAATTTTTTTAAAACTTTATAGATTATTGTATAAGGCAGCATATATTTCTTTAAATTGAGCAATTTTTGATGTTATAAGACTAGTTTACTGATCTAGTTTCACCTCATACTTTGCTTTCTTTGTATATCTAATTCATACAGAAACATTTCAATGCAAACACTAAATAAATACTTTTATAAAAATCACCTTTTAATTTTCGATGCCAGAAAATCAAATGCAATTCCAAATGAGTCTTTTCTTTTTAATTTTTATAAGAATGAGTCAGTATATAATATACATGGGTTAAGTATCCTATACATATTACTAAAACAGCATATTATTCCATTTTTATTGGTTCGAGTGGCCGCTAATAACTATTTACTGGTGGTCCTAATCAAATTTTAGTTGTTTCAGACTAATGTCTATTTCAAGCCATTTATAGCACCAAGAAATTTGATAATAACGAGTATTAATCCAGCATATTTAACGAAACAACATTAATGTCACGATAATTGTCGCATAATGCAATAAATACTGCACACATAGGTAATTTTAGTTTTTTCTTACAGTCATTAAAATAGAAAAATGACACTATTTTCCAGTTGTGATTGATATTGAATAAAATTGAAAAGTTAAGTTTTATGTTTCATAAATTTGGATAGTAAGCAGAAATTCATTGATCAAAGAGAGATAGAAGATTTTTTAATTAATTTAAAAAGGGAGTTCTGAATACAAACAAACATTTTAAAACAAAAAAAGTTTTCAACTGATTGTTATAAATGAGACCCGCTTCATTACGTATTAGTATTACTTATTATTTAAATACCCATGCAAGCAATAATCTGTGGAAATTTTTTTTTATTTTAGTGAGGATTTCCCCCTGAAAACTTTCTTAACTTTAGAGAATTTTCTAAAATGTATGAAAACCAGCGGAATTATTATTAAACCAGTAGAAATAAACAAAATCCAGTGGAGTTGGCAGCTGTTGCATTTGACCCCCTGGGCAGTATAAATATATAACAGCAGTATAAATACAACAAAATATCACTGAAAGCATATTAAAATATATTTATATTCCTTAATGAATAGATTAGTCTTAAACATCCATCAGATGATATCTGATATATCTTTACTCAGATAATTTCAGAGACTATAATTTAAAAACTCAATTACTGATTAATATAAATCTTAAAATGCCCCCTTTAAAATTATTTTGCAAATTTCTTAACCATTTTTAAAAGCTCACTAAGTTAAAATCAATTTAGGACTATTCTAATAAAATAAAAAAAGTAGCGCTTATTTAAATAAACATTGAGAAATGCAGTAGATTTCAGAAAAGGTTTACTCGTTCATTTTAAAAACGTTTTAATAGAAAAAAGAAAACAATTTGTTAGAAAGAAAGAACTTGTCTAAAAACATTTCACAATAAAATCACATTTTAAATGTTTCAACTAATTTATTTCTACAAATAAGCAATTACTTTCCTCATTAAATCAACATGATTTATATTTTATTAATCAGAATATTATGATAAACTCTAACGATGATGATTCTGTGGCAACGATGCGATGTAAACAAGGAAAAAGTAGGAATTTCAAGAACCAGCGTTGGCGTATTTATCGTTTGGTTGGCGAAAAATGAGCACCATAATATCATTAAGATTTTCCCCAATATAAATCCGACTTATGGCGCACATGACAATAACATCACATTTTAAAAGAACATTTCAAAATTCATTCAAACCAGCACGAATCAATAAGGATGGGTGACTTCATTTGGCATATAGTCGCCAATTATTTAGCCTAATCATAAAATGGCGTCATCCATTCCAGCACGTGAAGGAATTTATCAACCTTCAAGTACTTTTTTTTTTGTAATAAGTCGCATTGTGTTAGGCAAGGATTAAATTATCCCATTCATAATCAAAACTCTTTTTTCTTTCATAATCAAAACTGATTTAACGGGGGTGAATGGAGGAAATTTACATCAAAAACAATAAAATAGTGTTTTTTTACATACCATCATCTAAGAGTCTTTCCAGATGTAAGAAAACATTTGGAAAAGCTGCTAATTGTTTTTTATCCTTAAGTAGCTGCGCTAAGTAATCAGCTGTGTTCTGAGCATTGTTATTAGGAGTTTCTCCCATTTTATGAAAGAAAGAAATATATCCTTATAATTCGAGTATCCTCTCTATTCACAACAACCTAAAGAGATAACACAACAGAACATGTAGAAGAAGCCGCGTAGAGACTGAACTTCTAATGCGGTATACAGGACAATATTCCAACTTTTCGTCCCGTTTTCAACTGAACGTAGGTAGAGAGAATGCGCATGTGCAGAATGTGGGCGATTCTAAAATGAAGCGTGGGGTGAACTGCCGTAGGCATCCTTGTCGGAATTCGCGCCTAGTTTCCAGTTCTTGTTTCTCGAATATCGCGTTTGAAAAAGATGACTTTTTTTCATACATCGATTTCCGTATATAGTGAAAAAGAAGTCGTATACAAACTTTTACCATCTGTGCCAAAAAGTTATTAAAAATAAAGTGCTGTTCCAGTGCTATTCATTTGAAATACGTTTAAATTATAATTCATAACAGATATTTTATATATATTTATTTTTTTCTCGCTACTATTTTAAAGATTTTTTTTTAACGGAGTAGAACAGCCAAACCCTATCAGATGTGTGACTTTCACTGTTCAATTACATAGCCTGGTCATTTTGACCTCAACCGAGAGGACAAGGAGACTTTTGGATGATGCAATGAACCTTCTCGCAAAATTTTATCAGTAAAAATTAGACATGCATCAGGTTCAACCATTTTACCGGGTCCGAGTACTCGGCAGAAACTGAATTTTTAATCCAGCCGGTTCTCGGTCACCGGTACACATTTTATTTATGACACGAGCTGCTGTCATAGTTGTTATACAAATCTGCATCATTTTCCATGGATCTTACAAGTTACAGTTCTAAGCAAGTTTATGACACGTTGATGTAAATTTAATCACGTAAGGTCATTTTTTATATTTTTTAAACTATACTTAAAAAAATATACAGAAAAAATTCGAGAAAAACTTTTCGGATCTATCCATTTAATGGATTTCAATTTTTTTTTTATAACACTGAGAGCCTCCGATCGCTCTAAATTGATTCTAACTTTATTTCATCTTAAAGGTCAACATTTTCCTCGAAATCACAGAACTACATAATTATTTTGCATTTATGTAAGAACATTTTGTGAATATATATTAATCGCTATGAAATAGACGACAACCTAGATTTGTACTTGAAAACAAATGAACCTAAGGAATTTAGATTATGAGATTCAATAAGAAAGAATAAATGCGAAGTAATTTTACTCGTTGAAGATAACATTCCAATAAGCTTTTATAAATTTCGCTATGAATGATACACTTGACAGTCTCTCTTTTGCTACTACTTGATTGACTTCCACTCCAGCGAGAGCTTATTAAATAGAGGTAATTCTACAACAATTGATACATTTCACAATGAAATTCTACAACAATGGGATAAATATTTAAAACGAGTCGTGGTGGCTCAGAGGATAAAGTCTTCCAATGAGGTGAATCGCGTTAGAATCCCAAAGATGGCTAGTCGATACGAATTCCGCACCCGGCTGGCACCGACCACAGTACTAACATAAAATAGCCTCAGTGATAGACGGGTTAGAGTGCCCTTGCAGTCTAACTATGGGAGGTTCTCGTGGTTTTCCTCTCCATGTAACAAAAATGCGAGTGAGTCCCATCAAAAAGTCCTCCGCGAAGGCAAATTTCCTCCTATATTTGATCCAAGAGTTCTCTTGTCTTCTGGATTGGGTTCAAAATGTCAAGGCTAGGGAGTTGAATATTTGTTGTCATAAACCCAAAATGGATCGGCTGTTCAACGACGGTTACAAAATATTTAAAGCAAAAGGGATGAAAAAAGCAATTTAATTCGCAATTTCGAAAAAAAAAAAGCTCTCGTTAAAATTATAATACAAAATGGTTCTATCTGAACATCGCATTAAAACTCTGCAGTTGCTTTTCAACTGACAGAAAATGAAATAACATGATTTTTTTTACAACAAGCTTAACTATTTATTAGTTAAGCTTGTTGTTGTTGTTAGGCTCAAACTAATAATCAAATCAAATTTTTTTTTAATTCCATTGAACTCCTTGCACATTTTTCTACAAAACATCATCATTTCAAGTCTTATAAATTTTGATCTGAAAGCAAAATGTAACGAAAAGCAAAGAAAAAAAAAGGGAAAAAATTCGCTAAAAAGGCACTTAAAATTGCAATGACTTTCAAACAAATTGAAATTTTTCGAAAAATCTCTGAGTTAAGTTTTGTAAACAAATGTGGCCTTTTTATCATGTCAAAGTTCAACTATCTATAGTTACCATCCTGCGGCAATACGTATGGTATTTTTTAAAACAAGTTTAATAGATAAATAATTCTCGAACAGATTATCGAATGTAAAAGATGTTTTTTTTTCCATTCCATCGTCATTCTTGTACACTTTTCTACCCACCACTGCAGTGGCGTACGTAAACTTAGGTCCGCAAGAATTATAAATGCTCCCTATTTTTGACTTTGCACAATATTTTTAAAATGATGATAAAAGACAAGAGCACTATGAAGATACATTCGGGATTGTCGAGATGTCAAAATTGTTGCGATTTTACAAACTTTGGAAATTCGTCCACCGAAAAAAGCGATCAAAAGACTGCATTGATTTAGATTTGGCACGTTCAAAAACTTGAATGCGCAATTCAAAATTTCTGATTTTATCTTATTTTTTTAATTTAATAAATTTTTTTTTTCTCGCTTCAGGATCAGGTGCTACCGCGGGACGCTGGTTGTGCACTCCTATTACATATAACATGGAACGTATTATTTCTGGATCGTGCGCCCTCAAACCTCCCTCGATCGTCTCCCCCCCCCACCGCAGGGGTTGCGGGGATGTTATTTACGCCACTGCACCTCTGTAATTTCTAATTTCTAAGTCTTATAGTTTTTACGCTGCAAAATAAAATGTATAGTTAAATTGAACACCCAAGACAGTATCGGCCCTTTCGATATTTCAATATTACAGTGCTTCATTAATCTAGCTTCTATTAAATGTTGGTCATAACTTTAAAGTGTTTTAATAAAAGGATTAAAAAAGGTCTTAACTACTAATAACTATAAACATACCTTATATGCAATGGGAACTACATAAATACGCTCTTCATAATTTTCTGATAGTCAGGATTTTATTTTATTACCGGAAAACTTGAATCTTATCATTTTACCATTAAATTGCGCATCCTTGTCATTTGTAAACCAGCCCAGGAAATAAAGTACACTTTGAATAAAACTTTAGGCTAAACTCGACTTTGCAAATTTTTTTTTCGGAAACACTAACTCGAATGTGCGTTTTATTAAGAAGGAAACCTGGATTGTTCGGAAATTGAAGTTATTCTGCGAGGAAGCTCACTTTTCGGTGGAAATGTAGTTCACGAGATTTCGCTTCAATATAAACGTGAATAAACTGAAAAGACAATACAATGTTCTCGCTTCTTTATGAAAATATAAAATATAGAGTTTTGACAGACTTAACGGAATTTGATGAATTAATTAATGTATTTATTCAATGTTTCGTCTATGCAAAAAGCAGGAGCCATTCCAGACTTTTGGTAAAATTTCATTGCGAAATATTGATAAAAATAATAATAGCTGTAATAAAACAATGAAAAATTATTGCAAATAATCCATTTTTATTATTTAGGAGTATAGCCCGTCAACCACCTCCTACACGTGTATCGGAACTTCAGAGATCATTCCCATGTAGATGCGTAAATTAAACCTAAATGTTTAGGAAATTGGTAAAGTCAATACGCTTTATACGTAAATTTTACGTAATATTGACGGAATGATATTACCATTTGAGTAAAAAAGCTTTGGCATATTTTACGTAAGATTAACGGAATGGATTTTACCATCTACCCTTCTGTAAGATTGCTTACGTATATTTTTACGAAAGATTGACGGAAGAATATTTACTATTTAGATTTAGTAAAAATTATTCTGTGTATTTTACGTATTACGGACGAAGCAAATTTACCATTTAAATTTCGGTTCGAGTTTATTTTTTTCAGTTTTTTGGATAACCACTTTCTTCTATGTTTCGACGTTTCAACTTATGTACATTTTAACATACTGTGGACGTAAATAATATGTTAAAATTACGTACTTAATTTTACCTAGTTAAGAGTGGTTGGTAAAATATTAGTAAAAGAAATGAATTTGCTTACATAAAATGTTACTTTTTCTTTTGGATAATCATTTTTTTGCCATAATTCGACGTTTCAATTTTAGAAAATTTTACGAATGTTTAATAAAATTAAAAGTTAATTTAATTAAAGGTTAAATAAACGTATTTTTGACGTAAAATGGATGATTCAATGCTACCTCGGTGCTTGCTGATCCCCAATATCGACCCTGTAATTTAATACTCGGCATGCATGCATTGACCGTATTTCATGGCATTGCATTATTGTATTGACCATCATACCAACCACGTAATTTTAATTGTTTGAAAAAGGATAAATTTTTTATAATTACTCCAGGGAGCAAAAATCATTGTTTTTATGACAGCATCTTTTTTTACTCATTTATTTATTTTTTATTCCTCTATTTTTGTTGTCTTGTTTTAGAAATGAGTTTTATGAATAAGTCACGCTTGTTTTGTTTCTGAACCTTTAGTTGCCGGAGCTGGCATTATCATTGATTTATGGACACGAATGAAAATTAATACCTAACCATTCAACACTACTTAAATTATAACTTAAGTCAACCTAACAAAATGAATAATAACTATAACGTTGCCAACAAATAGAGAAATACCCGAGTATAGGGTGCTACATAAGATAATTATTTATATTGATTATTATTATTATAAATCAGAAGTATAAGAAGAAATTAATAACAGAAAGTAACTGTATATTAAAGTAATTAATAACAAACCAAATTAATAACGTTTTACAAAATGCAGAAGTATGCATATCAATAGATTAATCAATAAAGAAAAATTTAAAAAAATAGACTTCAGTACCGGGCTATGAAAATTCCGTAATTTTCATATTGAAAGACAATAGAAAAGCAATGGTGGTTATTTAGGACTGAGAAAAGTAATGAAGAAGGAGGAGGCTTTCTAGAAAAGTGAGATAGCGTTGTTGAATCGAATAAAATAAAACTGAACTGGTAGTTCAGAAGGAGTGAAGGTTTAATCTGTTAATTATTATTTTTGGCTTATTGTCCTTTAAA